GCGGATGAGTTTTTGCGGCAATTTAATTAACACACAACACACAACAAGAACCTGGAACAAGCCAAGTGAGCTGGAACAAGTCTGGAAAATGTCTGGATAAATCTGGTGAAGTCTGGAAAAGTCTGGAAATCTCTGGAAAAGTCTAAAAAGAGCCTGGACATTTTTGGAAAGGGCCGGAAAAATTCTGCCAAAGGTCCCAAAAGACCTGGGGATCATTTTCCAGAATCCGGATCAGTGTGGACAAGTCTGTATAAGGTCTGGATAAAGTCTGGAAAACTCTGGAAAACTCTGGATAAGTCTGGATATTGTCTGGAAATCTCTGGAAACGTCTGGAAAAGACCTGGATAAATCTGGATAAAGTCTGTAAAACTCTAGATAAATCTGGATATTGTCTGGAAAAGTCTGGAAATCTCTTGAAACGTCTGGAAAAGACTTGGAAATTTCTGGAAAGGGTTGGAAAAATTCTGAAAAAGGTCCCAAAAGACGTCGGGATTATTTTCCAGAAGCCGGATCAGTCTGAACAAGTCTGTACTCCGCCCGTGCTTCATTTATTATTTTGTAGAAATGGTAAATGCCCACGTTTGAATTGAGAATAAGTGAAAAAACTTTCTGAGGTGTGTTTTTTTTACAACTTTTAGATCAAAATTTGGATTAGTTTGGGTCCAAAAAAATTTGCGCGCCCTGGGGCTTCCCCCCTGAGTGTGTGCACCGCCAACTTTTCCTGTCACCAGCCGCCACTGCACCACTTCATGGTGACGTCTGTCGGAAGAATATATGTTAGGAAATGGTAATACATCAGTCCAAGACGTTTATTCGGGGAAAAAAGTTAATTATCCCGTTTTCTTTTTTAACTGAACTGTTGAGTTATTTACTGAACCGTTCACTGTTCATTCTTTTCTAAATCATACAGATAGAAAAGGACAGTTGACATAGCAGCTCAACAGGGGAGTCAGTTGAATACAGGAATTATAATTTCTGTTTACAATTCTAGACAGATCATTTGTTGTGTCATTTTTTTGCTACTTTAAAATCAAATTTCTTAAATTTACCTAATACCTAATAGGTACTTACAATCCGTTATGTGTTATGTTATCCACCTTAAAAAAAACTTGAATAATTATAAGCCGTCAGAAAAAAAAATAGTTATTTTCCTAACAAGTGCGCAAAGTGATACTTTCCCGCACGAAAAAGCAGTTATACGAACGACGCGAAGCGGAGTTCGGATACGTTTTTGCGTGCGGAAAAGACACTTTGCGCACGCGTTAGGAACAAAATTTTTCCTACGAGCTTCATATCAGGTAGGATAAAACAAAAATTAAAAAAAAAAAACGATAATTTGTTTAATTATTTTTAATTAACTTGAAGGGAATCTATGCATTTATCAAAAAATTACATAACAAAAAAAAAATAACAGAAAATCCTCGTCAGAGCTGTTTATCTTAAAGCGTTTAAATTTGATGAGAAAGTTTGTAGATTTTTGCATATAAATAGAGAACAAATCTGACAATGTGTCAAAGTTAATTTATAATTGGTGTTTGTATAGATTCCTGCGTTTTTATTCTCATCAAATTTTACCAATGGATCCACCATTCTATGTCGGTCATTGTCATTTTCCATTCACTAAACAAAGATAGCTAACTCATCGGTGAAGTCACCGATTAGAATAAAAACGAGGGGGATGTTGGCTGATGCTGATATTAGGCAATTCAATCCATCTGTCAAAAAGGAAAATTCAATGTGGCGTGGCGGCCAAGCAAGTTTGTTTTGAATATGTTTTTATGCGTAATTTAAATTATTTTGCATTCAGTTTTGCTTACAACTTTGATTTTCATTATTTAATAAAATATTTGTTGACTAGGTACCTAAACTATTAATTCGGGCAGAAACTAGATATTTTTTTGTGTTTTTTGGCCCATGTGTGGCCGCCACGCCATCTTGAATGTCACGTGGTTTAAATTGCCTAATAGAAATCGAGGAAAAATTTGTCATCATGTGTCAAAGTCGACAGGTGCAAGGTGCACTTATTGTTGCTTGACAATTATAATTACTTTTCGGCACTCAGTGCGGATAAGGCCTGTATCCGCACTGAGTGCGGAAAAGTGTAACTTTAAGCCCGGAAATGCGTGCGGAAAAGTACTACTTTGCGCACGCTCGTAGGAAAATATATTTTCCTACGAGCGTGCGCAAAGTAGTACTTTTCCGCACGCATTTCCGGGCTCAAAGTTACACTTTTCCGCACTCAGTGCGGATACAGGCCTTATCCGCACTGAGTGCCGAAAAGTAATTATAATTGTCAAGCAACAATAAGTGCACCTGTCGACTTTGACACATGATGACAAATTTTTCCTCTGTTTCTATATCAGCCAACATCTATACAAACACTAAATATGAATTAACTTTGACACATTGTCAGATTTGTTCTCTATTTACATGCAAAAATCTACAAACTTTCTCATCAAATTTAAACGCTTTAAGATGAACAGCTCTGACGAGGATTTTCTGTTATTTTTTTTTTGTTATTAATTTTTTGATAAATGCATAGGTTCCTTTTAAGTTAATTAAAAATAATTAAACAAATTATCGTTTTTTTTTTTAAAATTTTTGTTATTACCTACCTGATATGAAGCTCGTAGGAAAAATTTTGTTCCTAACACGTGCGCAAAGTGTCTTTTCCGCACGCAAACACGTATCCGAACTCCGCTTCGCGTCGTTCGTATAACTGTGCTTGCGTGCGGAAAAGTAACACTTTGCGCACTTGTTAGGAAAATAACTATTTTGTTTTTGTTATTTGTGCCTGTTATTGACTATTTTGTGCGAAAAAATTAGAACAGAAAGAAAAGAAAGAACAAATACATTATTGAATGAGTTCGACAAAACATGGCGGGTGGGCGGAGCTTAGGTGCTAAGGACCAAATTACAGTATATTTGTATCTGCTAATTTGCAGTTCTGCAAATATGGCCGAGTTGCATATGTGCTCTATTTGCAGAAATGAGCAAATTACAGAAAAAATCTGCAATTTTAATTTTATCATATTTATTGGAAAAAAGTGTTTGGGCGCTACTGATTTAGCATTTTTAAATGTCAAAGTTGTCAATGGGATTGCAAAGACTTGCGGGACCGTTTCACCATGCGCAAATTTGCAGGCGACCTGCAAATGCATTCTGCTTCTGTAATACGAAAAGTCAGACTTGCAGGTCCTGCATTTGTATCTTGGTGTTGCAGAGCTTTTGTAATTCCAGGCTAAAGTTATTTGTGTGAAACCATTTGATCCTATGGAGATTTATGCAATTTTGTGTTCATATAATTTTGTTTTTATTATTTGTGCCTGTTATTGACTAGGTATTTTGTGATAAAAATAAGTTAGAACAGAAGGAAAAGAAAAAACAAATACACTATTGACTGAGTTTGACAAAACATGGCGGGTGGGCGGAGCTTAGGCGCAAAACACAAACACAAATTTCGCATACGAAATACAAACAATATTTTTCCTAGAGGCGTGCGCAAAGTAGTACTTTTCCGAACGCATTTCCATGCTCAAAATTAGTTACACTTTTCCGCATTCCGTGAAGGGTACCACTTCGCGCACGCTCGTAGAAAATAGTTATTTTTGTATCTAGTAGCGAAATGCTACTTTGGTGATCGAGAACTGATTTTTTTAACGAGGCGCAGCCGAGTTAAAAAAATAGTCGAGATCACCAAAGTATTTCGCGCACGAGTTGCAAACAATATTTTTTCTACAACTCCATTTAAATATCGATCATTCGAAGCTCAAATTGCATTTAAAATCAAAGACAGGTGGATTTTAATTATTTTTGCTGTCCTGACAGCTGACAGATATGTGTCACCATGACATACCAGTGTGCGAACTAGCTATTTCGCACACATGTGTGCGAAATAGCTAGTTCGCGCACGGCGTCATGGAAACGTTGAAAAATTCATACCTGGGAAAAAAAGTGTCACTTCGCAAATTGTCATCAGTGTGCGAACATCATCATTTTTTGACAGTTGTAGAAAAAATATTTGTATTTCGTATGCGACATTTGTGTTTATGGGCACCTTCCAATGAATTTTTAGCCTCGACATGACCTGTGAAAATTGACACTCTCAGCTACCATTAAATTAAAAAAAAAAACAATTTATTTTGCCCACTTAATGCGAAAATAACTATTAATACACTGAATCTCAGAAAGGGATGCAAACCATTTTGAATATAACTATAACTTTATATGATAAGAGAGTTATTGGACGTGCAATAAGGACAAGCAGTATTTAAATTAGCCTTATTTTGACATCTACGCATGCGCATTTGAGTCCGAAAATGAGGATTCCCTTATAAGGTTACTGCTTGACTTTATTTATGTATGGTTAGTGCGAGGCACTAAACTTCCCTTATTTCAAATTTCTGACATTTTGGACGACTTTGACGTTTTGCTTTTCGATGATGACGTAATTTTACTTAGAAAATTAATATTTTACAATAGTTTTCCATTTTACTGTGGGTAACATCAAAAAATAGGTAGGTATCAGCAGAAAATCACAAACAAAAATAAACACTTTTTTAGGCTGAAATTTATAAACATAGCTATCAGCTGTCAAAATTATGAATACAAAATAAGGTAAAACTCTAGAATCTACTATAGTCTTCCAATAACTGTTTTTTTCTTGGAAAAATAGTGCTGCTGCACTAATAAAATAACGTAGTTCCTTAATACTGCAAACTGCAAGGCAGTATTTGAGAGTTCCAATAATTCTCTAAATTAAATTATTTGGACAGTGCAGATGGTTTTTAGTCGGCACTGTCTGGACACTGGACAGTGCAGATATTTTTCAGTCACCACTAGTTGTATTCCTTTCACACCTAGGAGTAGTTCCGGAACAGCTCCGGGGCTTCACGCGCTTATTCCTTTCGAAAAGTAAAGCATCTGTTCCCTGTAAATCGAAGGCTACTTAACACCGGAGCGAGTAGCTCGAGTGTTTCAAACCCTTGAAATGAATACAACTATTGTCTGACTGTCTGGACACTGGACAGTGCAGTAGTGTAGTCACTCCCAAAAAAAGGAATAGATAAAATGATACTAACAAAATTGTGAAAAACCAAGGTAATTTATTTATTTAAAAATATATTCAATTCAATGAAGTAATTTTTGATCATAAACAACAAAGCTTGTCTTGTTTGTCTCACATAAAATTATTGCCAGATATTTTTTCAGTTACAACTTCCTAACCTCAAATCCTTTTTTTACCGAAATGTGGCCCGAAATTCGAACAGCTAAAAATGAAAAACGCCGAGAATTGGTGCTGGGCGGCTCAGAAATCAGCCAGAGAATCGAAAAAGACGGTTTTAGCGCGACAATTTACGAGTTGACTGATTTGAATTATCTCAGTATTACTGATACGAGCCTCTCTGAGATAAGCTCAGATATTGCCAAGTTAGAGTCTTTGCAAACTTTGATTTTGCATTCGAACAAGTTTCGGGAATGCAATGAAGCCATAACGAAACTTTCCAAGCTAAAGATATTAGATCTTTCGAGGAATTCTATTGAGAGAATACCAGAAAGTATTGCATCATTATCGCAAATTATAACTATAAATATCTCTAACAACAAACTAGAAAGCTTTCCCACTTTAAGCAACAATGCTAAGCTAACAGTGGTTGATTTGTCTTGTAATGCTTTAACAACATTTCCAAATTTATGTAATTCCGATTTAGTAAATTTGAGTGAATTAAAATTGCAAGGAAATCATATTGATAGCATTCCTAGTAATATCAATGTGTTACCATCTTTAAAAGTAATGGATGTGAGTAATAATAAAATAAAGATTTTACCTGGAGAGCTAGCAGACTGCCATAAACTCAAAGGTTTGATGGTATTGTAATATTTTATTGTTTTTTACACAAATTAATTTTTTTTTAGAAATAAACCTCAAATCCAACCCAATTAGTGACCGAAGACTTTTCAAACTAATAGATCAATGCAGAACTAAACAAATTATAGATTATGTAAAACAAAACTGCCCACGTGCCACGAAAGATGCAAATTCGAACCCTAAACCTGGAAAAAAAGGAGCTAAAACAAAACAAAAGAGTGACGACTCTGAAAGTAATGAGGACGAATTGTCTTACAAATACACTATTACAGTGAAGCCTGCTAATGAGGATTTCAAAGTTGTGGTTGAAAATTCCACTAAAACCATCAGGGAACATATTGTTTGTTGCTTGGTTAACAATATAGTGTTTACTGAAGATACATTTAAGGAATTTATCAAGTTGCAAAATAAATTACATGATGGGATTTGTGAGAAGAGAAACGCTGCCACTATTGCTACACATGACTATAAGAAATTGGTAAGGAAAAGTTTTGTCAAAAAATAAAAAGTTTAATTCTTTCGCTTTCGAAACCTCAAACTCTTGAGCTATTTGAGGGGTATATTTCTTTTTTATTTTTTTTTTTTTTTCTCATTTATCAACGGGTAGCCCATTTCCACAGCCCCCTACATTTAACAAGCCATGAAGTTAAAAAGGCAACACCGCAATCTTACCGCCAAGTGGTGCTGGTGGTGTTTGTTTGTATAAATATATATTTTTTATTTTATTAATATGAATCACAAAAAATGCATAATTTATTGTACTAAAGGCCCAAAAACAGTAATTCAATGAATAATTTAACTATTTGTGTAAATAAGAGCAGTAAATAATTGATTTAAATGAATAGGTATATTTCTAGAGTCTAAAGTGTTATAAGCCTATGTTTCAGTATGTCTTTTGAAAATCTAACTTTTTCTTTCTTCAGGATTTTTTCGGAAGGCAAGTCCATTCAAATACTTGAGCTGATTTTCGAAAATAAGAGGTACCTACTTTTAAAAGTTGGACGTTTTAGTTTGAACTCTTGAACTATGGCTTTATCCTTGTTTGTTTCAAATCTAATTATTTCGGTTTCTTCAAAATGTTTACAACACACCACAGAATGTTTCGTTATTGTATAATCTCGGGTATAATTATCTTGGTGTATTGCTTTCATCCACATTTTTTGCACTTCAGAATTTTTTTGGAAATAAAAATGTTTGCATTTCTTCAGTTTTTAAGGAACTCCTAATAGTTCGATTTGCACCCAGGAACACAGTAGTTTCATGGCATCTGGAACAAGTTTAAATATCTTAGGTAATATATCAAGACCTTATGCTCTTGCAGACAAATATTAATATTGTTTTTATTGTTTTACCTTACCTTACCTTCATTTTTGCTCCTGTACCCATTTGCTAAAAATTTGCAATCAAAGCACAAAGGAACAGGTATCAACTAAATATGGGCAATATATTGGTGTGTTTCTATCCACTTTTTCGTCAATAATGCCCATAAAAATACTAAATTGCAACAATACACAATGAAAGCAATACACAGAAACACATAACCCAATAACAAAATAGCACCATACGCGATGTTGCCGTCATTTCCAACTTCATGGCTTGTTAACTATAGGAGGCTGTGCCATTTCCCATTTCACAACTACATTTCAATATAATACATTAAATTTAACATAACTAAACTTAAATCTAACTAAATCTAAATCCAAAATAAATCTAAATCAATAAACAGAATGACAAATCAATAAACAAATGCGATGCAGTGGACTGTCATCTCAAATCTCAAGCAATGTTCCCAGAAAGTGCAGTCCTCTGGGGCCTTATTCTGTAAAGAACAAACCGTTTGATTCTGTAGAATTTCTTCGATTGTGACGTCATTTTCGGTTTGCTAGCGCGGAAGCTATTCCGAAAATGCCGAAAATGACGTCACCCTGGGGGCCTTATTCTGTAAGAAACGAAACGGTTGGATTCGGTAGAATTTCTTCGATTGTGACGTCATTTTTGGTTTGGTAGCGCGGAAACCAAACCAAAAATGACGTCACAATCGAAGAAATTCTACCGAATCGAACAGTTGGTTCTTACAGAATAAGGCCCCAGGCCGCCAAGCGTTATGCTAAAGAAATCTATGTTCGATTCATTGCCCTCTCTAACAAATCTAGATATTGGAGAATTAACTCCATAATTATATTTATGGAAGGATTGCACGAAAGTGCACTTTCCTCTAGTATTTCTAGGTGGTACAAAAAAGTCTATATGGGATAGAATTTCAGGACAATTAACAAACGAATTCAATATTTTGAACAAAAAAAATAAATCAGTACTGTGGCTTCTAGTCGAAAGTCTGGGCATCCCTGTTATTGACCTTAAAAGAGTTGAATAATCCGGATAAAAAATATTTAATTTTTGAAACACAAAGTATAAAAATTTATTCTGCACCATTTCAATGTTTTCAATATGTGTCTCATAGCTAGGTGACCAAACAGGCGAGGCATATTCCAGAATGGGTGTAACTAGTGCTTGAAACAATACTTTCAACGTATATACCTGGTGTCTACGAGATTAGTTTCGCCCTGGCATTTGCTGATTTTTTTTTCAATGGCAAAGATTTTTGGTATAGAGTATATTTCAATTTCAATTTTCAATTTTAGTTTGAGAAATGTCATCTTTTGACATATGTGTCAATGTTTTGTTACTTCCGGTTTGACTGGAAATGGCCCTAATGTCGTAATTTCAAATGGAATCCCAAGAATTTTTTCGCATTTTTGGGATCTGCGGATCATGATGTGTATGAAAATGTCAATTTTGAACATTTTTGAAGAAGCTTTACAATTCTGGATCAAATTTTTTTTTTGAATAGGAAGTGATAGAATGGACTTTAAATTGTTTTTTTCAACTCACACGATCGTAGAAAAATACGAATGCCATGTTGTTATCCTTTGTTTGTTCTCCAAAAGCTTCCAAAGTTGTAAAAATCACATTTCACGTAATAACTCAATGAAATCAGTGAAATCACCCAACTTTCACAACAAGAGATTTTTACCTTTTTCATAATAAAACAACTATGCATTGAAACTTTTCATTTATGTCAGTTTTTAATTATTTTTTAATTATTTTTATTATGCACTACTATACTTAAATGATAAGATGAAACTACTTATAAATGAACCCCTGTATTTCAACTTTGTATTTACAAATTCCCGAGATGCCATACAATGACAAAATAATGTCTATGCAAACAAACATATCTTGTCCATAGATCTTGTCAATGGCTTGACAAATAAAAAAAGACCACCAGACAGCGTTTTTTCATACAGGGGTTCATTTATAAGTAGTTTCATCATTCATAGTAGTGCATAATAAAAATAATGAGAAAATAATTAAAAACTGGCATAAATGAAAAGTTTTAATGCATAGTTGGTTTTATTTTGAAAAAGGTAAAAATCTCTTGTTGTGAAAGTTGGGTGATTTCACTGATTTCATTGAGTTATTACGTAAAATATGATTTTTTCAACTTTGGAAGCCTTTGGAGAACAAGCAAAGGATAACAACTTGGCGTTCGCATTTTTCTAGAATCGTGTGAGTTGAAAAAAACAGTATAGAGGTCATTCTGTCACTTTCTATTCAAAAATAAATTTTCATCCAGAATTCTAAAGTTTCTTCAAAAATGTTCAAATTTGACGTTTTCATACACATCATGATCCGCAGATCCCAAAAATGCGGAAAAATTCTTGGGATGCCATTGGAAATCACGAAGTTAGGGCCATTTCCAGTCAAACCGGAAGTTTCCAAACATTGACACATATGTCAAAAGATGACATTTCCCAAACCTATACTATATACCAAAAATATTTGCCATTGAAAAAAAAATCAGCAAATGCTAGCGCGAAACTAATCTCGTAGACACCCGGTATATTTGAAAAGCTATATCCCATTCTGCAAATTAGACCCAAAGTCCTGTCGGCAATATTTATTATATGATCATAATGTAAGTGGAAACTCAATTTTGTATCAAGGACTATACCCAAATCTCTAACCTTCTCAACGACGCCCAACATTTGTCCGTTTAAGCTAATTAGTTTGGCACCACCCAGCAAAGGCATCCAGGTCCGTCTGAAGTTTCTCACAATCCGTCACAGAATCAATTATACTATACATTTTACAATCATCGGCAAACAGTAAAAAGGGACACTTAAGCTACACTTCTAAGTCATTTATGAACAAATTGAAAAGAAACGGACCTAAATGGCTTCCCTGAGGAACACCAGATGTAACCAGAAACTTGTCTGACACTGCACCAGTCAAACGCACAGACTGAGTTCTATCGGTTAAGTAAGACCTCAGCCAGAGCAACATGGCCCCATGAAATCCCAGTGCCCCGAGCTTATCACACAACAATGTTATATTTACAGTGTCGAATGCCTTGAAGAAGTCAGTATATATTGCATCCACCTGGGAGTGATTTTCCAATGCATTGAGCACAAACTGTGTATAAATTATCATATTAGTAGTTGTGCTTCTTCCCAAACAAAACCCATGCTGTTGTTCAACAATAATCGAAAATATATCCCTCTTCACCCGCTCGACAATTAGACCCTCAAACAACTTGGGTATTGAATTCAAGATCGAGATAGGTCTATATGTTTCAACATCAGATCTATATATGAGTCTTTATTTAGCTTCAACAACTAATTTACAAATGACTAAATATAATTACATTTGCAATAATAAATAAATAAACATTTACTGGTCCTGGTTAAGATATTATACATATCATCGTCGGTAAAAATAAAAATAATCATAAAAGCAAGAATAAAAATATAAAAATCATAGTAAAAAAAAAACAGATAATATATAAAAAACAATACAACACAGCCAAAAACACACATTTAATCACTTAAAATCTATTTATGACATTCACCCAGCAAAAGAATCCTCAATTTCTTTTTAAATGAAATAAGATTGTCAGAGTTTTTAACATCCCCTGGCAGATTGTTATAGGCAACAAATCCCTTATGAAAGACGAACCTCTGAAGATCTTTTAGATTTTACAGTTACTGTAGGTCGGTTCTTGTACGAGTATTATAATTATGAACATTTTCATTATAAACTAATTTTGTATTGTGATATTCAGGTGTCATACCATTTCTCATTTTAAAGATAAATATCATTGCCTGAAAGTCCAAAAAATACTCCACCGATAACCAATTCAAGCTTCGTAGAAGTGTCTATCGGAGTATCCCTAGGCATACCTAGTAGAATATGCATGGATTTATTTTGTAATTTTTGCAGGCGATCTATTTCATTTTTGTTGGCCATTTATAAAACTGTAGATGCAAATGTTAGGTGGGGTAGAATAATAGTATTATAAACTATGCTCTTTGACCATTGAGAAAGAAACGGTGCCACCCTTGTGAAGAAGTTAGTATTTTTAGCAATTTTATTATTTATATAAATGAGTTGTTCTTTAAATTCATATTTCGGTCT